ATGTGAAGATTAAAAATTGATAATGTTGTACTAGGAATGAAATTGCTTTGGAAAACACCATGTTCCAAGAGCATTTTTAAAAATATATAGAGAGACATTACTCAGTGTGGAAAAAGCCAAACTTAACAAAAAGAGATTAAAACATCTAAAATAGGACTGCTAGATGAACAAAATTACTATGTGCCTAACTTAGGTACTTTCCTTATCAGTTTATTGAAAAAGTGAAGCTCTGAAGCCCGAATTCTTTCCCCAATGCTATAATGGAGGTAGATTTCTAGAAATAAATGCTAATTCTAGAATGAATTGGGGGGGGGGGGGGAGTGTATTATTAAATGTTTGCTTTGTAGTTGACACTAGGGGGCACTGCAGTTCTATAATTAGCATGTAAGAGCAGTGCCCTTTAAATTATTCAAGTTCCCTTAAATAGTACCAGTGTCTGATAGGGAAGTCAAATTCCTTAGGAGGGTTAAAAGGTTTTTATGAGGCAAAGTTAAAAAGCTTGAAACTTGCCCTGGCCGCTTTGGCTCAGCAGTTGGAGCGTCGGCCTGCGGTACAGAGAGACCCGGGTTCGGTTCCCGCTAAGGGCACATACCTTGGTTGCAGTTAGTCCCCGGCCCTGATTGGTCATGCGGGTGGCAGCCACTCGATGTGTCCCTTCACATCGATGTTTCTCTCTCTCTCTCTTCCTTTCTCTCCCTCCCGCTCTATCTGAACAAAAAATGGAAAAATATCCTCGGGTGAGGATTAAAAAAAAAAAAAAAAAGCTTGAAACTTGATTAACAAGTTAGCATCCAACTAATGTGTTCTGAAAGTATCTTCAATATAATTTAGTAATTGCTTTGCTAGTCTCCTTGCCTTGAAGTCAGAAATTACCCTATCTTCAAAGGTTTGTTGACCTTCAGTAAATCAGCACTATATATATATATATATATTTTTTTTTTTATTAAAAAAATTTTATTGATTTTAGAGCAAGAGAGAAACACTGATTTGTTGTTCCACTTATTTATGCATTTATTGGTTTCTTCTTGTAAATGCCCTGACCAGGGATCAAACCTGCATCCTTGGCATATTGGGATGATGTTCTAACCAACTGAGCTATCCGGCCAGGGCTCAACATATATATATTTAAAGAGAAGAAAACTAGGGAAGGTTAACACATTTCAGGCTAGTGATTCTCTTACTGATTTTTTTTTTTTTTTTTTTTTTTTTTAAAAGAGAGAAACATCGATGTGAGAGAGAGACATCAATCGACTTCCCCCTACTGGGGATTGAGCCTGAAACCCAGGCAGGTGCCCTGATCAGGAATTGAACTGGGACCTCTCAATCCATAGGATGACACTCAGTCTACCGAACCATACCAGCCAGGCTAGTGATTCTCTTTAGGATGGAATCAGGAAGGTGGGCCAGAGAAGGAACCCACAGCAGACATAGATGTTAGCTGATGGTTTTATTAACATTTACAACTATTCTTTGTAAAACGTGTATATGTTAAATATTATCTATATGTAGCAAATATTACTTAAACTTCTAAAATGGGGCATGGGAGAACATGGACCAAGGCCATATAATTGAATCATACCACAATTTTCTTAGGCTGCAGTCTAATCAGTGAAATGCCTGTGAGATTTGGTTCACCAGCAATTCTTGAAGTGATGCAAGTGCACATGAGAACCACCTTCCTTTCACTGGTGCTATTGGTCATCACTGGTCTTCACACTCGGTCCATCTGTGGGCAGTGACTCTGAGCTTGCTGTAGGTAGTGATTTAATGAGAGTAATCAGTATCTCTTTACACTGAATTGATTCTAACATAAATGGACTGAAATTAGAAAAAAATCTAAAAATTTTAGGAAGAGATGTGTTTGTAGGAGATCATTTGCTTCTTATTCATGAAAAATAGAAACTTTTGAAATTAGTGCTAATATGTAGCTAGTTTCTTGTTTCAAAAAGTGTAGGATGTGGTTATCCAAGCATGTGAAAATGCCTTGGTTTTTTCTACCGTCTGATCCAAACTTGTTCTGGGTCAGATTGCAAAATCTCTGCCAATAGACTGAGCCTATGATTTAGCTGAAGTCTATGGTTGCTTTACACTGTGAAGTTGCAGTTTCTTAGGGAAGGAGCAGTGTCTTTATTTAAGCAGCTATTAGAAAGCAGTGTCTTCATCACAGAGTGGTGTGTGAAGCCGGTCTCCCATCCCAGTTCTCATGGAGGTCCAGCCCTTTTATATTAATGGAGCCAGGCAAGGAAAGGGGTTCATAAGCACAGGTAATATAATGTCAGGAATTCCCATCACACTAGCAAAATGTTAACAGTGGCAGCTGACAGAAATGTAATCTGCATAATTATCCTGGTTGCAGTGCTCTTGTCTAGATCAAACAAATTTTACTTACATCTCTTATGTCCCTGGTTAAATCTGAATTCTGCAAAAAAGTAAGGAAGGTTATAATTTTTTGCCTGAAGAACTTCACAATTCAGGCTGCACAGAAAGACATCCTGATTGATCCTTGAATTGTTTAGGAAATAGTTCATGGACTAGGTGCAACGGGTAGGTATGTTTTAAGAAGAAATAACTTTCCCACACTTGCTATCCCACAGTGACCTGGGAAGTAAATATTCAAGCAGAGATAGGAAAACTATAAAAATTCTTTGTTAAGGCAGATCTGTGTAAGAACAAGAGATCTGAAAAGTGCATTTTTATTTGTATTTATTTTACAAATTGAGAACATTTTATTCCTGAAAAACTGCTCATACTTTGGTTAAAAACAGCAAGAGTCTGTGGCCTTTGCCTGGGGCTGCTTTCATTCAGCCCCTAAGCCCCCATCCAGGCTCAGTGGCAAATGCAGTGAGTGGTTTTCCCAGTGTGGGGCTGGTCTCAAAAAAAAAGCTTTACTGACAGAAAGGATGTAGCATCAATTTGGGGTACAGGGGGAAGTCTGTGATTTTACCAACTAAAAGTAGCAAAGATGGAGAAATAAACTAGGGAAACCTGCAACTTGGCTAACCTGATGTTACAGTCCTAGTTTGGACAAGCAGTGGATCAGTCAGATTTAACTGGGAGAACCTAAAAATGAGAAAACCACAGAATGTCTACATAAGTCTCCCGCATGGCCTGCTGCTGGAGAACTACCGCATGCATGGGAACGAACCAAGCAATTTGGGCAGGATTGATTGCAAGTGGGCACAAAGGAACTTTTTGGGATGACAGTAGTGTCCTGCCAAAACTAGATTTGAATTTGAATTGGAACATTTATAATGATTTAATTTTGTGGTACACGAATTATACCTCAATAGAACTGTTTAAAAAATATATTTGCCTACTGGGAAAAAAAATCTACCATTAGTAGAATCAAGAAAAATCTTTCCTATATATTTAATATTATCAAAAAATAATATTCAGTCCTTATTGAAGATCATTATTAACCAGATACGTACTTTTATTCTAGGTAGGATGTTGGCTATTACATAATTATACTCTTTTTTTTTTTGTAAGAACTAAACTAATTGTTGTATTCAACCATTAAAATGATATATCCTTTTACTGAAATAGACTGCCAATTTTTGAAGCTTTCTAATGAAATGAATTGCAGTAAAATACAAGTTGTCAAGTTTATTATTTATTAGTTGTCAAGTTTAATGATCAAAAACAATTGAAAATTAAGGGATAGCTATGGAAATTATAAATGTAAAGCTGCCTCTCTATGGCTAACATTTCACCATTTTTTATTTTTTGTTAATCCTCATCCAAGGATATTTCTCCTCATTGATTTTTAGGGAGTAGAAAGAGGGGTGGGGGAGAAACATCAGTGTGAGAGAGGCACATCGATTGATTGCCTTCCACACACACCCCAACTGAGGCCAGGGATTGAGCCTCCAACCTAGGTACATGCCCTTGACCAAGACACACTCCAACCACTGAGCATACAGGCCAGGGCTCACTTTAAAAAAAAATCTTTACAATTGAGACTATTACAGATATTCCCACTAATATTTCACCTTTTATTGAAGGCAGTCAGAATCAAATTAACCTGACTCAGATATGTCTTTGTATCAGACACAACTCCTGATGCTTCTCCTTGCCAAATGTGCAGAAAATGCCATTTCCTGGCAACTAGAGTATGCAGATCAAATTCTTGACTGGTTATACATTGCCTAGCACATACTAGGCATCTAAGAACTTTTTTTTTCTTTATTGATTTTAGAGAGGAAAGGGAAGGGAGACAGAGAAACATTGATGAAAAAGAACATCAATTGGCCGCCTCCTGCCTTACCCCCCCATCCCCCACTGGAGATTTGGCCCACAACCTGGGCCTGTGCCCTGACCAGGAATCAAACTGGCAACCTCTTGGTGCATGGGTCAATGCTCAACCACTGAGCCACACCAGTGCTGGGCTCTAAGATTTTTTTTTTATCCTCACCCGAGGACACTTTTGCATTTATCTTCAGATAGAGCGAGAGAGAGAAACATAGACGTGAGAGAGACTTGAATGGTTGCCACCCACACAACCCCAACCAGGGCCGGGGACAAACTGCAACCGAGGTACGTGCCCTTAGCGGGAATGGAACCTGGGACTCTCTCGTCTGTGGGCCGATGCTCTAACCGCTGAGCCAAACTGGCCAGGACTCACTCTAAGAATTTTTTTATGCTTCAATTTCTCCCTTAGAATGTGAAGAAGGACAAACTGCTGTAGTTCAGATAGACAACTGCACAGAGATGTCACTTAAGTAGAAAATATGGGAGGCAACTTTCCAAGCATGTTCAAATTCTCCAATGCAGACCTTAGAACCAGAGGAACATCATCCATAAGTGCATAAGGAGGAACTCGCTGGGATGTTCGCAATGTGTTTTGTTGTTTTTTAATCAGTTTACATTCAATATTATTTTGTATTAGTTTCAGGTGTACAGCATAGTGGTCACTCATACACTTCACAACATGCTCCCCCCCGACATGAAAATGAATGTATTTTTTAACGAATGTATGTTTTTAAAGAATTTGAAACTAGTAAAATTTCATATTCACTTTATTGACTGTTGAAGTTCAGTCTCCGATGCATCTTCCAGCCTTCTCTGATACTGTCTTTCTGAGGCTTTTCTACGGTAGACATCATCTGTATTGAACAAAAATTTTACTTAGATTTTTAAGAAACCGAGGAATTAAAAATGCTCAAATCTGAGTAATGTAACCAGTAGTCTAGGTCAGTGACTATCTGAATCTCAACATTAATGTTTAATTCAATGCCAAAATAAACAACTTAAAACATGAGTTCAGTGAGGCTATGTGGAGTTCCAGACTTCAATAGCAGGGTAAGAGTTGGTACCTTCAAAGATAAGATCACGTCCTAGCATACCTCTTAGCAATGTTTTTTTGTTTTTTTTTTTAATTTTTTTTTTTTTTCCTCACCCGAGGATATTTTTCCATTTTTTGCACAGATAGAGTGGGAGGGAGAGAGAGACAGAAACATCGACGTGAAGGGACACATCGAGTGGCTGCCACCTGCACGACCAACCAGGGCCGGGGACAAACTGCAACCGAAGTACATGCCCTTTGCGGGAACCGAACCCGGGTCTCTCCGGACCGCAGGCCGACGACGCTCTAACCGCTGAGCCAAACCGACCAGGGCCCTCTTAGCAATGTTTTAAGATTTTAAGGCTCCCATCACTTCCTTATCCCCCAGAATTTCTATTCTCTCTGAAATCATCCTTAACTGAAACCTAGTCCCTCAAAGGCACTTCCTGACCTGTGGCTCTCTGCTGTTCTCTCCCCCACACCTGGGAACTCAGGTGGGAAGCAAGGTTAGTTTCCTTGTTCTCAGCTGCTGCTTTTCCAAAGTACTGATTCACCACCCTCTTCCTTTGGGGCTTATGCCACTTGCCACTATCTTCTCTGCACTGACTGGCACCTGCTCTCTGTCACCCTTTCAATCACTGAAAACAGTATCTAGCTCGGCTCCTTGACCCTGTCCTGTGCCATGTCCCAGGCAGCACCACCCAGCACAAGGATAAAGCACCTCCCTGCCTTCACACAACTGCCATCCATTGGCAGTGTTCCTATGAAATAACATTCATTCTGCTCTAGCCCTTCTATTCTTGGACCTTGACCAACTTCTTCCCCAGGCCAGTTGGCTACTCCCTCAGAACCCCCTCCTTCTCTCCCTCTGCCCAAACCCACTGAAAGTCCCTCTCTGATCAATATCAACTTCTTGAGGCACCTTCAAAACACCAACTGGAGATTAAACCAAATTCCTTCTCCATGCGTCACTGCTTTGCTTTGAACTGTGGAGCCAACTGATACATCTGCCTGGGTCCACTGTGATGCCTGACAACCCTGTTTCCTCAGGCCATGATCCTGACCCCTCTTCTACTACCTCCAAATGGCATGAACTTTTTCTCCTAGAGAAAAATAATGAGGAAAAACTCTTCTGGCTAACTTGCAAGGGCTACTTCTGCCCTGCTCTGCTCCCATCCTCTGCCACCTTCTCAAGGGTCAAGGTATCTCCAGCCTCTCTCCACCCTCTTTCCAGATCAGATTTTTGCATATCTTTAAGTCTCTCCTGGCGGGGTAGGGGGGGGCACTTACCTCCCATTCACATAGTAAACTTTCTGAACCGCCTGTCTTCTGTTGTAACAAACCCTCTTGGCTTCCCTGCTTGCCTCTCTGGCCACTCTCAGTCACACTTAAAATGTTCGGGTTTGACTTTAACTTGCACCACAACCCGCTTGTGAATGACCCACAAACCCAAATCTATGGCCCAGATCTGCCTCCTGTGCTTCAGAGCTGTATAACATCTCCACTTCAGCACAGGATTGGCCTACCTGTGTTGCCCAGCTGTCCTATCAGAAGCCTCCATTCATCTCCTGAATCCACTCAATCACCAAACCCTGTCAGGACTACCTCTCAGGTATCTCAACTCCACCCACTTCTTGGCATCCCTTCTGTCCCCACCCTAGACCAGGCCACCATCTCAAATCTGAGCAAACACACAGTCTAAGTGTTCCTGCCATTCTCCACATGTGCTAATCCACTGCCACTTAAAACCCTTCAATCCTTTGGGGTACACCTTTCGTTCTCAAGCCTCTTTTTGGCTCTGCCCAGGCACCTTTCTAACCCCTTCATCCCTAAACTCTGCTCACCTGTTTCAGTTCTGCAACCAGCATACTTTCACACCAATGCCCCCATGTCTGCTCTTACCACTGGTATGGGGCATTTTCAACTTCACAAACGTTCCCCTCATCTGACTGACACCTACTCAATCTTCAGGGCCTACCTGACATGGTAACTCCTGGAAGCCTTCCCTGCACCATCCAGACCAAATGAAGTGCCTAAGCCAAGACTCCTCATGTTCCCTTCATTCTTCTCAGAGCACTGATCACACTTAATAGTAGCTGTCTATGACCTGCCTCTCCAGTTAGAGCTCTTCTGGGGTGGGGGACCCTCTGCCTTATTCATTATATCCTCTCATCAGTGCCCATTAAATACTGATGAATGGATGATCAAGACTAGGTAATCGGATGAAAGCACTAAGGTTATTATTTTAAAATGAGGGTGGGCAATTCACAAGTGACTGTTTCTGGAGGGACAATGCAGAAAAGGTCCGGGTTGGGGAAGTCTTCCCAGAAGACAAACTAGCCTGTCCAGAGCTAGTGCTCAGCAAAGCAATGTCAAGCATTCTGTTCACCGAGCTGGACCCTGATGCCAATGACTCTGCCTGTAAAGAGAGTGGTAGTGCCCTGGCCGGTTTGGCTCAGTGGTTAGAGTGTCAGCCTGTGGTCCAGAGAGACCTGGGTTTGGTTCCTGCTAAGGGCACGTACCTCGGTTGCAGTTTGTCCCCCACCCTGGTTGGGTCGTGGTTGGCAACCACTTGGTGTGTCCCTTTCACATCAATGTTTTTCTCTCTCTCTCTACCTCCTTCCCTCTCTCCCTCCCACTCTATCTGAACAAAATATGAAAAAATGTCCTCAGGTGAGGATAAAAAGAATAAAAAAATTTTTTTAAAAAGTGGTAGTGATTAGCTAAGTCGGGCAGACCAGCTCCCTCCAGGGTTTGAGCTGAAGAGTCCAGAGTGGCCAGTTAACAGGAGTTTCCATTAATCCTCAGGATCCTAGCCCCTTTATCGTGCTGTGAGCAAGTCTGCTCCTTAGGCCCAAACAATGTCACCAGCAGGCTTGAGAGAAGGGTGTCCTGAGTGGAATCACGTGCCCTCTCCTCAACGTGTGGACAAGGTCTCAAGGTTGGACGCCAAAGTGCCTTTGTAGCCCCCACTTACAGGAGAGCCCGGGCGGGTCTCGAGGGCCCAGTGAACGGAACCGCACTTGCTCTTCTGACCTGGTAAATGCAGTTCAGCTCTGAGTGGAATGAGCGGTCTGCAACTTAGGAATGAATATGTCCCAGGAACGTAAGTCCTATGCCACCTCCTGCCTCCCTGAAATGAAGCGGAGGCTCCTGCATCCCCACTTACAGAAGGTCTCCTGGCCCACGCGCACATTAATCATGATCCACTCCATCGTTCCTCCCAGGACAAAAAAGAAGGGCAGAAACCTGTAGATGCCGAGTCGCTGCTTTCCGGGCACCCGCTGCAGAACCTGCCTCACCTGGGCTCTGGAAAACATGCCCAACTGAGGTCGCGGAGAGGAGGACGGCGGAACCAGGACCGACCGGGGCTGCCTCAGGCCCTAGACTGAAGCGCCCAGGTGGAGCTGAGGCTGTCCCGCCTGTCCTTGCCGAGTCCAGAGGCCGGGATTGCCAAGTGATCGCCCCCCTGCCTCAACCCCAGACGGATAGATCTTTAGGAGCCGAGGCCTGAGCTCCGACCTAGAGCGGCTCCACCAATCAGAGCACGGTAAAGAGCGGGGATTCGCCAGTAGAATGCCGTGGAGTGCGCGTGCTCCGTGAAGCCTAGGCTGACTTGAGGGAGTTTGCGCAGGCGGCTCGGTTCTGGAGGCGAGGCGAGGCGAGGCGGGCGAGGCGGGGCGGGGCCGGGCGGGGCCGGGCGGGGCGGGGCGGTGCGGTGCAAGGGGGCGGGACCTCCCACGTGGCATCGGCCTGGCCAGCTCCCGGGGCCTTCCCTGTGAAGCTAATGCTGAGAATTGGCGGCCATCCCCCCTGCTCTGTCACCGCCATTTTTTTTCAAGTCCTGATGACCCTCTCTGATGGACTAAACGTGTACTGCACCATACATTTAAATTGCAATTACACTATGCCTTGTATTTATTTCGGGATCGTGAACAGTAACTAGACTTTAAAAAAAACAATTTGATATGCTCTGTTGAAAGATGAACTTTATCATTATCCCAACATAAGTCTAGGTAACCATTTTGAGACAAACAACTCTAAAATTAATCAAAGCTTTCCTGTATGGGGCACTTACCGTTATGCAGGGACTTGTACGTGCTTTTTATACATCATATTCACAATCACAGAACAAAATGGCTCAAGAGCATGGGCTTTGTCAAACCACATCCATCCTCCACACCTACTCCCTTAGTCTGTGCCTCAATTTGCTACACAAAATGGGGACCTTCCTCTGATGCTGTTAGGATTTAGAGAGATAATACAAATAAAGCGCTTAACACAATGCCTGGAGCATAATAACTGATTAACTCAGATTAGCTATAATATGATGATGATTTTTTTTTCTTTCTTTTTTTTCGGTACGTGCCTCTAGCAGGAACCGAACCCATGACTCTGGTGCGCAGACCAACGCTCAACCACTGAGCCAAACTGGCCAGGGCAATAGGGTTATTGAACCCTAGCTCCTTTCCCTAGCCTACTGGGCCTCGTCTTTTTCATCACCTTTTCTAGATGGAGAACTGAGAAACAGATTAAACTAGGTAGAAACAAAGATCTGACTTAAGAGCCTTCTCTCTTGCTGAGTTGTGCTTGCTGATATCTTCAAGGGGCTGTCACCTCATTAACTTTGAGAAGGGAGACAACTATTAGACAATGTAAGAAAATCAAATGAAAACTAAGAACCAGTAAGAGAGTTTGGTGATATAGACATAAACTGTACAAAAATAGGCTGGCCCTGGCCGGTTTGGCTCAGCAGTTAGAGTGTTGGCCTGCGGACTGGAGAGACCCGGGTTCGGTTCCCGCTAAGGGCATGTACCTTGGTTGCAGTTTGATCCCGGCCCCAGTTGGGGTTGTGTGGGTGGCAACCAGTCGATGTGTCTCTCTCACATTAATGTTTCTCTCTCTCTCTTCCCCCCTCTCTCCCTCCTGCTCTATCTGAAGATAAATGCAAAAAAAAAAAAAAAAAAAAAAAAGTCCTCAAGAGGATTTAAAAAAAAAAAAAAAGGCTGGAAGAGAAAGAGTGCAAGCAGGGCCCTGGAAAGAGTCCTAGAGTCTGTGGCTGAGCAGCCATGCCCAAGATGCTGCCTGGATAACCTGCTTTCTGAGGTGTATACATTCAACTGCTCACACATACCTACTTAGTGCTCACTCCCCTCTCTCTTGGTGACTCTGGGGGTCAGATACCACGGAGTGCCCAACTCCTGCCCATATGAAGCTTACGTGTGGCCAGTTCCCTGGTACCCACTTACCTCACTGAGGCCCTTAGGTGGGCACAGCCACCCACCCACAGCCCCACCCTTGGGCCTCCATCTTGTTTCAGCACCTGGCCCAGGGTCTGCACATTGTAGGTATCCAGCCAAGGTACAGTGGATATTCGGATGTATCACACCCTTAGGAAACAAAGTGTCCAGATGACCAGCTCCCCCAATAACAGGGCCCATCTGGGCTGGTTAGATCTCCTCAGGGCCCAGTGCATGAACTGGTACACATGGGGACTCAGAAAACGGATCTGAATAGAAGAAACAAGGGTGGAGAGCGGTTCTAAGCAGGAAAAACGAATCTCGTCAAGTCTAGCGAAGATGCTAGAGGAGACCAAGGAATCTCAAGAGAGGGCCTACGCGGGGAAGCTAGGAATGGGGTGGGTGGGTGCAGCCATTTGCTGAGGTCAGAACCTGGCAGATGCAGTGACTCCTGGCCCACTGTCCTAGAGCACAAGGCCCAGTCGTCCTGCTCCAAGTTAAAAAGGGTCACCTCGGTGAGGTACAAGACAGGAAAGAGAAGGGGCTGATTCAGCATCGGCTGTGCGGGTCGCACCATGCATGGGGATGACATTGGGGAGCGCGCGGTAAAAGCTCTTTATTCGCTGACGGAGAGGAATGGACGGGCATCTGATCTGTGGCCAAAGCTAGTCAGGGGCCGGAGGCCTGGAACAGGACCCCCACAGTGGGACTGGGGGAGGGGCGGAGGAGCTAAGGTCAGGAGGGCTAGAGGTGGAGAAAGGGGCGGGAAGACCCGAGCGCGGAGGGGGAGAAAGGACTGGGCTAGGGGTGGACCCGCCGCGCTCTGCCGTCCGGAGCCTCACGGGGACTGCTGATCTTAGGCCTTCCAACTTCCCGGAAGGGGGACAGAAGGAGCCGCCATAGCCGCCGTGGCGACTGAAGGGGGCGCAGAGTATTTAGCCGCGCGGGAGACTCGGGGGAGGGGGTGGGGAGCCCGTCCCGCCCCGTCCCGGGACCTCCCGCCTCCCGGGCCAAGGGGCGCACGTATTGGCCGGCCGGGCTCCGCGCGCCGCGTCCATTGGCCGGCCGCGGTGAGAAGCACGCGGCCACGGTGGCGGGCGCGCAGTCGGAGGGTGGTGGGCCAGCCGACGGGCTGTGGGCTCCGCGGGCGGCGCGCAGCGGGCATGGCGGGTGCGGGGCTGCGGGCGGCTGCTCGGCGCTGGCTGCCGTGCTCAGGCCACGGCAGGCCGCGAGCCGCCTCGTCCTCGCCCTCCTGCTCTGGCTGCGGCCCCCCCGGTACTGGCGCCCACTGCCCCGGCGCTCCGTGCTCTGCGCCCTCCCTGGCACCCGCCGGCGGCGCCGAACTCAGCGCGCACCTGTGGGCTCGTTACCAGGACATGCGGAGACTGGTGCACGGTGGGTGAGCCCGAGTGGGAAGGGCGCCGGCGGGGTGGGTGTCCGGCGCGGCTGACACACGGACTTAGCGCCAGGGCACCGCCCCCGAGCCGTCGGGGTGCCGCTCTTCGGGGCGAACGCCCCCGTGGGGCTCGCTGGGACTCCGAAGGCCGGGCGGCTCTTCAGGGGAGGCTCCATTGGGTCGTCCCGGGGGCCTCTGGGGACGCCCCGACGCCCGGAGCCAACGAGCAGGAGGTTTGTTTGCAGGCCCCGTCTGCAGGAGCTCAAGAGTCCCTGACTGTAGGGCCCCCGCTGTCTTTCCTTGCCCCCCCCCCCCCCCCCCGCGCCGGGAGGCCCCGGCGGAAACGCCCCCAACCCCTTGTTCTCCTAGGGGCCCTTCGTTGGGGCGGGAGCACCAGGGACAAAGCCAGCCGGCGGCGCTGGCCAGAACAGGCTCCTAGGGACTGGCCGACCTCTGCGGACGCCGACTAGACTTGCAAACACCTCCAGATTACGCCCTGGAGGCTGGGAGCACTCAGACCTGGAGGGGAAGAAGAAACGAGACCGAGTTGCTCCAGTCCAGAAGGATTGCTGCATCCTTGGCAGGGGCACTCACTAAGCCTGCTGTAGCCTCCTCTCTGAGGGGCAGGCGCGGCGCCCTGGTGAGGCCAGAGAGTTGAGAGCGCTGATGTTTGTTCAGGGGTCCCCTGAGGCCCTGCCTCTGCAGCAGACAGATGTGGTTTGGGTCTTGGCCCTATCACTGTCCAGCTGGGTGGTGCTTAGCAAGCTTCACCCTCGCAGACCCTCAATTTTCAATTGGCCGCAAGAATTTTTGAAACATGCACTACCTGACTGTGTTGTGAGGGGCACTGAGCTCTTTTCCCTTAGATTGTCAAATTTAAAAAATGACAACACAGCAATAGCGTGAGTCCCACTATACCATTTTTTTTTTTTTTTTTTGTCAGAGCAACAAAAATTACTTTTTGTGTGTGTCGCAGAATTTTAGTAATTAGTGAATGTACCGTGAGGTGGAAAAGGTTGAAAATTGCTGTCTTAGGGTGTAAAACACAATCCTGGGGCTTCTGTTGAAGGATTGTGGTGATGACTCAGAAAGACCCAGGCCAAGAAGGGGCAGGGGAGCTTCCGGAGGGGCCCCCAGGGGTGACAGGACTTTCATTGTCTGATAAGACAAAGTGGCCCTGTCTGGAATATTCCACCTGACTGAACGGGGGCTGCCACGCAGCTGTGTGAAAGCCTGGGAGGGTGGGTGGACTGGACTCGCCTCTTGAGAAACTGAAGGTAAAATAGCTAAGACCCCTGAGCAATAGGAATAATGGTTTTGAAGCCCACTGGGCCTCTCGTTGCATCAGGATACCCCCTCCCCCCCCATGCTATTTAAGGAGACCTGTTTGCCCTGGACCTGGTTAAGGTCCTCCATAGAGCAGCTTGAGAAACCTACCTCTTAGGTATTGGGGGAGGGACCTAGGGAGGTCTACTGGGCTTTGTCTCTCAGGGCCCACACGGATCTTCAGATCTTCAGACCCCCAAGCTTCTCTTGATGTGAAAGGGGCAAGGTCATTTCCATAATGCCAGGGTGAGTGCCAGGAAGAGCCAACCTTCCTGGCCCCTTCTAACTCCAGCCAGCCTAATTCCCCTTCTGACTGGGTTTTCTGGGGGAAATTCTGGGCATTGAGGTGTGCCTTGGGCTAATGCCTTTGGGCAAAACGTTTTGGGGGGAGCCAGGCCAGCCCTGCCCCTTCCGAGGTCAACAGGACGCTAGGCTAAGGGGCAGTGATTAAGGCAAGTGAGGTGGCTGAATGCAAATCTCAACTCTACTTGCTGCTGGTAGTTTGGAACTGCCCAGTTTCTTCCTCTGAATGATGGAAAA